TCGACATAAGGCCAAAATCCATCACTTCCAACGAGGAGACTACGTGTTGATTAAGAATAACCCTCGCAATCAAACATCCCTAGACCTTAAATTCAGTGAACCTTATGAAGTTTGCAGGATACTGGAAAATGACCGTTATTTGGTGAAGAAAGTAATTGGAAGAGGACGACCTCGCAAGGTTGCTCATGATCAGCTGCGCCGCGCCCCGCAACCCGGTGAACAGTTGACCGTATCGGCGGGAAATATATCACCTGGTCATCAGGACTCGGCTTCAATATCCATTGAGCCCGTCCCTCCGACTTCACAAGACCCAGCAAACCACGACTTACAGGGTTAAAGCAGTTTATCAAAATAAAGCGTAAGTAACTCAATTCAATATTAAGCTTTAACTAACTCTACGAGACATTCTAACATAAGTATCTACGAGAACCTCCGAGAACCTCCGATAATCTACGAGAACCTCCGAGAACCTTCGAGAACTCTACGAGAACCTACTAACCTCAATAACATTAATATTACCAACCATACAAGGAATTATGTGTTGACGTAACAACTAACATGAAGCAACTCAAGTTGCTTACAGATATCCTACTCAAAAGAAATCTATTGTTACAGGTAAAAATAAGAACTACAATCGACGAGGCTGGTGCAGAGCGCGCACCGCCTGTCAGTATGGCCGTATCGGCGCAACAACAATAGTTCATAAATTATAATAATTAATTACTCGGTTTAATAATTTTATTGTGTCAAAAATAGTTCATAAGCCGTTTAATACTCACTCTTTGATTATTACAATGTAAAAATCTTGTGATTCACATTATTCAATGCTTGACCTAAAACTCATGTACACGTGCTTGCCACGCTATAAAAACGACCGCATAGAGCGTGCTAAGTCAGTCTGGCTCGAGCAGCCGAACAGTACAGACCTCTGTAAGTACATTGTTACGCTGTCAGTCGTATAAACGAGGCTTTCAAGTTAGTTGTGGTGTTTTCTTTGGAAGATTGAAGATGAGTGATCTCCATGGAAATAACATTAGTGACGTCAGCTGTGCTGACGTCGCACTTTTTAAAAACAACGAGGAGCTCTGTCCTCCGTCATATACAATTAAATGGCTCAGTTGTAAATGATTCGTACTTGCACTTTTCAGATGCCGCACTGCTTTAGCTAGACTAGCACTGTTTATTATTATATACTATTTTATTATATTTATTATATGAGTATTAAACCAATACTTTTACACTCGGCAATAACACATATCTTAAAATTAAACACTATATTTTTATCGCGCTTTGATAGTCCTGGGTTCCAGAATCAATTATTAGATTTTACTGTGAAGAATTTCTATTAAGAATATATTTCGGTTATAGAACACTATTTCTGTCTATTGAGACCGACTTTAGACACTTGGTGACGTATCACCCCCGTGCCTCGGAAAGCATGTAAAGCCCTCCGGCCGCAAGGGATGGCTATCGCATCGGATTATATGAGAACGAGGGAAAATGGACTTTACATATCCTTGCCCACCTTCTTATGCTTATGATCCTGCCCAACTCAGAAGCCTAATCGTCGTTGAGACCAACCACCGTGATCGAAATACGGTCTTGCTAAATGGCAAAGTTCATATCTCTCTATAGTACTCTATGCTGTTAGTAGGTACTCTTAGAGTTTAAAAGAAAAACAATTCTTACATAACTATTTAAACAACCTAAATATTAAAAAAAAATTATAAACTATTAAAAATATATTTTAGGAATGATTTTTTTTAAATTATCATTTTATCATGATAATAAACTTAATTTTTATTTATTAAAATGTTATTCCTTTAATATTAAACTTGTCTATTTGTTAATAAATTTTTTCTTAAAAAATGACGTAATTTTTTTTCTGTGTTTATTAATGTGAATGACCAAAAAATTAAACATTTTTTTTAAATATTTCACTTTTTGTTTGAAGATGAGAGCGTGCAGCTGGAGTAAATATGTATACCCTACTCCGCGGCTCTCTCTCTCCCTTTCACTTTTTCCCTATTTCTGACTCTCTAGTACCATTCCCACCCATTCACAGTCACATTTTATGGTTATTGAGCAAAAAATCTTCATTAAAAATCATAAAAAAATATTTATAGCAGGCAGATTGTTAATATCCCTCAAAATAATCTATAGATTTTAAGCTACCATAGCTGGAACCTCAAGCTTTTTTTTTTTTATAGGAGAGGGGGCAAACGAGCATGCGGCTCACCTGATGGTAAGTGACTACCGCCGCCCATGAACAACCGCAACACCAGGGGAATTGCAGATGCGTTGCCGGCCTTTTAAAAAGGAGTAGGCTCTTTTCTTGAAGGTCCCTAAGTCGTATCGGTCCGGAAAAATCGCTGGTGGTAAACTATTCCACAAGGAAGTTGTGCGAGGAAGAAAACATCTTCTAAATCGCACAGTGGTGGACCGCCAATCATCCAGATGGTGTGGATGGTATCGGGAGTTCTGCCGCGATGTGCATTCGTGAAATTTGGCGGCTGGGATTAATCCGAACAATTCCTCAGAGCATTCCCCATGGTAAATGCGAAAGAAAATGCTAAGAGATGCAACATCTCTTCGCAGTGCCAATGAGTCGAGCCGATCTGAAAGGACTCGGTCGTCGACGATTCGAGCCGCTCTGCGCTGGATGCGGTCAAGTGGAAGAAGCTGGCACTGGGGAGCCCCAGCCCAGAGATGGGAACAGTATTCCATGTGACGCCGAACCTGCGCCTTGTAAAGTTGCAGGCGTTGAGCCGGCATGAAATACTGTCCCGCTCTGCTGAGCACGCCAAGCTTTTTAGAGGCCAATTTGGCCTTCTCTTCCAAGTGACCACGAAACTGCACGCTACTCGATATGTCGACGCCGAGGATTCCGATACTGGCTGAGGCAACAAGGGGAGTACCTTGAAACTGAGGAGATACGACAAAGGGGTTCTTTTTAGCGGTAAACGCGCAAACTTGTGTCTTCTGTGGATTAAACTGGACTAGATTTAGTCGCCCCCAATCCGAGACTTTGTCCAGCAAAGACTCGACTTCAGACACAAGTTTGTTCCGGTACTCGGTTACGTTTTCCCGAGAAATATTGGCACGGCCGGTGTATAGAGCATCACATATCATTGATATGCAGAAGAAACAGCGTTGGTGATAGCACGCAGCCTTGTGGAACACCAGCGTTAATAGGCATGTAGTCGGAGCATGCACCGTCTACAACGACCTTGATGCTCCGATCTGCAAGAAAGCTGGTGATCCAATTGCACAATTTCTCGGGAAGCCCATAGGAAGGGAGCTTCGAAAGAAGCGCTTTGTGCCAAACCCGATCGAAGGCCTTCGCAATGTCCAAGCTGAACCTTTTGTATATAATCAGACACGCTCGAGTATTTTTTTCGCATTTTCAAAAATCGTCTACGAGCTTGGGTCACTAACGAATCGTCAGTCTTTCGAATGGGAGCATTTTGCACTTTAAATATCTGACGCGCTGGAATTCATTTTTGAACATCTGTAGTAGTTTGTAGTAATTTTTACATATTTGAAAATCTGTAGACGCTTCACCCACCACCGGAAGGGGAAACAGTATATAACTTTATTCTCCCTATCAACTAATCTACAAAATGTAATAGGTCCCCACGACGCTCAAAATCCCCATTTAGCATCATGGGCTCCCCTACTAAAGGCGAGTTCAGTTGTTTTTATGAAGACATTGATGCCCATCTCCTGGTTTGTTTCCCTCTGTCGATTCTTACGACACAACGATATCCGTCGGGTAGTGGATTTTCTAACACCGCCACTACACTGGTTAGAATAAGGGCGCGGATTGAGAAATTTATTAGATAATGCATATTTTCTTTTTGTATCTTAATTACTACCTTTACAATATAAATTAATGATTTCTCGTGCTGGAAATAGGTGTCTGCCATAGGAGGATGTATTTCTGCTATACTTACTATTACTCTGGTCAGGCCAGGTAGCCGATTACCTTGGACGCTGTTTTCCAGCGTTATTGTAGGTATTTTACTAAGAATGGTTATACAGTAATCTTTTCGACAAGTCGGGAGAAGATGCCGCAGCCATACAGCAACAATACTAATATTGTCGTGAGATATTACATTTAAGGTAATGGATAAATGTCACGGGAGCAGTTTTATACTGCAGAGATTACTCAACAGGATGTATATTTGGTACACCAAGCATTTGGAATTGTTTTATTAATGTGGTGATAACTGAAGGCGAGGTTAGTTACTATATGTTTGCACTATGAAGCAATGAAGCAATGGCATGGTTTACTAATACGAGTATCAAATAGTGGCTCCATGTGGACAGATATTGTACGCCATTTAGAAATAAAATGATTGATAGATCGATTTCGTTCCGGGAGTGGCACAACGGCGAATAAACAATTTAAAATAAAACAATGCAAATCACATTATTTTTTCTTTAATTGAAAGACAAATTGATACAGGCAATTTTAATACCGACTACATTATTTGGCTCATTCTGGAATAAAAATAAATCAATTTAATTAATCTATAAGTTCAAGAACAAGTTTTATCATATATGAAAAACAATTTTATGTATTTGCCATTGAACACTGTAAATAAATTAATGATTCTCATTGATTTGTTTGCAGTGTTCAATGGAAAAGACATAAAAATGTAAAGGATACCTACCATTTGAATAATTTTCATTGCATTACTCTGTAAATTAAAACACATAAATTGAGATTGTTTGAACATAAGAAATAAATTATTTTGTTTAATTAAATAATATATGCTTTGAAAGTCCTAGTCGTAAAAAAATTTACCTTCAGGTTCGAATTCAGAATTAATTCCTTTTGTACTCTTTTTTCCTTTACGATCAGATTCTGCAATAAATTCCGATATTATGAACGTTTTATACAAATCTTTTCTTTTAAAGACATTTAAAACTTTAAAACATACATCAGAAAAAGCCACACTCAGTTACTGTTACTAAATATTTCACCTCTTTTTTTACTTATATTTGACCATAATACATCGGAGTAAGTTACCATTGCTTGAGTCCTCTTTGTCACTTTGTTTGCTTTCTGATTTATTTTCCTTATTTTCATTATCTTCCTGTTTGGCATCCAAAGGTACTTTATCATTTTCGTCACTAGCACTAAAGGAATCGGCTCTTATTGATGGTTTAGAAACTGCATCCTTTTCATAAGTACTTTTTGAGTTATCTGGAATTGTAAAAATATTTACATAAAGCAATTTTCAATGAACCTATGGGATGAATAAAACTTGTTTTCATATAAGCATCACTTTCAAAGTACAGTTTGATGAAAATTGGAAACAACTTTAGATGAAGTTACTTGAAGATGTGTGCTTACTGTCGCTTAACATTGTGTTCAGCGAAACTAACAGTAGTTGCGCTGAATTCAGTTGTTTTAATGAGAACTGGGGAGTATTTACTTCTTAATGCATGGATATTTACAAGTCGTTTACAACTTAACAACAGTAATATATTTGCGATGTTTGAAGTTTTATACTTCAGAGATTTCTCAAGTTTTAATTACGAATGTTTACTTAGCTTTGTATAATTTTTGTTAGGTTGTAATTTTTTTACAAATTTGGACAGTAAACGTAATCGCTAAGATTTTTTTAGAGTTTATATGGTAAAACATGCGCTTCAACTCGATTCGAATAATTTAGAGATGACATTATAGTGGTAATTTCGGCAGCTGCCAGATGTCACGTAGTGCTAGGTTATAGTAATATTTTTCTTAAGTCGAATTTTATGCAACACGGACAAAATGGAAATTAATTATCTTACGCCCCTACAATGACAATTTAAAGTATACTATGTTCTATTATCATTTCACGATTAACGTCAAAGACGAAAGTAAATATCACAAAGATCTTGAACTATACTATATATTTATTATTTCAAAATTTGTTGCAATTTGCGTAAATCTTAGAATAATACTTTTAAATCATGCAAACAAAAAGAACTCTTTTTGAAGTTATACTTCTTTTGGGGCGTTTGGTAAAAATGATGAGAGTGAATTTTTTACGATGCGCGCGCAACTAAAAACGACACCATGAAGTTGTTACGATGCATGCGCACACTGACACATAAAATCGACAACTTCAGTGGGTAATTGTCTCTCAAGTTTCTAGTTTTGTTACACACCAAAGAAGTATAACTTCCTACGTGCATACAGAAGTACATACCCCCTTTTTTGTTTCTAAAGACTTTTGTAAAACGTTGCGTCATCTGCTTATGTTTAGGGGAAAGTATATAATATATATTAATTTGTACAATTTTGTAATTTTATAATTGAGATCTACATCGAAAAAGTAACAGAAAAGTGCAAAATCTACGTACATATTACGTCTTACCGATGCGCACAATTCTTCTCTCATTGTTGAGAGTGTTTTGCAGTACGAAAGAGTTCAATGAATCGCCTAAATACATGTTGGCGGACTTAACTAGACTTCGAATTATTATTGGTTTACTGAATGGGCCTGAGAGATCATCGAAAAATAATAATTCTAACTTTTTATCAATTTATCAGTTATAAAAGTTTCTTAGACAGCGGAACCCTAACATGTTACCGTAATAATGGCACAAAATAGGTGGATTGACGATTGAAATTCTAACTAGAGTGCATATGTTCATATGTGTGTGTTGGAGGTGGGGCTATATTCGAAACAATCAGTTAACTCTTAAATTATCTATAAAAATGAATGAGTCATTTCTTCGAAATGCGAAAGATCGTCTCGAAAACAATTTTTAAGAACTGTACGAATCCTTGAAAATATAGTTAAACAATTACTTACCATCATAACGTCGTATTGTAAGGGCTGGTTTGCCGTTAAAATCCCGCGTCAAATCGAATCCAATTTTAAAGTCTACTGAAAATTGAGCAACATAAAATTATCTAAAAATATTTGATTTTAAAGTATTTAAAATTTGTTACAAATGATATTGAATGATATTGATTATAGTATCAAAACAAAGACATTTTATCGAATGGAACAATAGGAGCAATACACACAAAACAACCTTGTTTTACCTACCAGTTTTGTCTTCGTCTGTGTCATCAAATGCATTGACCCATGATATTAGGACCTGGGAGAACACAAAGTGTTATTATAGTACCGAAAAGTTTATAAAATAAAAAATAACGGTAATATTACCATAAAAGGTGCCCAGACTATCAGCAGGTGTTGCTTTTGAAAATACATGGCAAAAGTAATAATTTAAACTAAATTCATTCGTGTGCTTCAGAAATCGAAATGTTATGCTTTACGCTATGATTTTAATTTTAAAATTTACATCAATAACGTCTGATATTGCAGGCTGCGCTTGTATTAAATTTATAGGCAAGCAGCCAATACTTTTCATAAAATGAATGCTTAAACATTGCGTATTATATAAAGTGAACAAGAGAATATAAAAGTGAATAAGAGAATATAAATATAATTTTATACCTGGTAAAGCCATGCTGCAGCTGTATTAATTGTATGGTTGTAGCACGAAATGGGTCGGCTCGACCGGGAAAGGATCACGCTCTCACAGAACACCAGCGAAAAATAGCAGATTAATGCTGCTGTGTTTCCTATGGTGAGTGTAGAGAACCGGAGAGACTCCCTGGAAAAAAGACATTCCATCTTTGTCTTCACGGCTGACAACGTATCTGCATTTTGATTCGTAAACGAGGATATATGTAGATGTCTATGGGCCACAGCAACCACTTACCATCAGGTGGACTGTGTTTTATTTGCAAGTTGAAAGGGATGAACTTAACAAACGCTAATATATCAATTATGAAATTGTGAGAGGTAAGAGGGAAAATACCACTTTTATCCAGAAATGTAAAACTCAAATACGCGCGATGCAACTTGCTGATTGACATTCTAGGCTGTGAAAGGCCAACTTTTTATAACCCTGGAGTTGTCATATGATAAGCATATTGGAGTTGCCAGCTAGTTAAATTTATTTTTAGTAGATAGTTCACTATGTGGTAGAACGCTTACTTTACTAACTACTAACCTACTAACTTACCTATTCCTGCCGCCATGCAGCAGTGCGTGTACTGCTTTGCTCCAGTCTGAATGGTATAGAGAGTCAGTATAACGTTTGACGGTGACGCATTTCATTGCTTCGCGTTTGACGTTGGTTGTTTGTATCCATGGAATACAGTAGCCATATACCATCAGGTAGACTGTAAGTTTGTTTGTCACTTGAATTTAATAAAAAAATACACATAGTATGTGGCTACTGTGGCCTATGGACACGCGCAACTATGGCATTTCTTGTCTGGCATTACTTCAGACAAGAAATGCCACAGATCTTTTTTTTATAGGATAAGGGTGACAAACGAGTACACAGTCCACCTAATGGTAAGTGGTTGCTGTGGCCCATAGACATCTTCATCTATCTTTGATTAAGAATCAAAATGCAGATGCGTTGTCACCCGTGAGTACTAAGATGGAATGCCTCGTTTCCAGTAAAAGGGGTCTCCGGTGCTCTACACTCACCATACGAAACACAGCATCCTTAAGCTGCTATTTTACGCTGGTATTCTGTGAGAGCGTGGTCCTTCCCCGGTCGAGCCGACCCAATCGTGCTACAGTCATAATATAGCTGCAGCATGGCTCTACCACGTATAAATATCTGTTGTAAAAATCTGTTGAAGCTAAAAGAAAATGGCGTAATATCTGCTTGTAAATATACTTGTTCCATTACCCTTCAAGCCGGACTCATTAGTGGATCCACGGCTGCTTATACTAATAAATAAGTTAGAAAGTGTTACTATCTATGATGGTTTCTTGTACGAAAAAAAGGTTTATTATAAAGTAATACGAGATTAATAGTTATTCCTTTGGTAATAGGATAGTAAAGATAAACTAGGTACATTAGCTAGAAGATAAATTTATCTTGTGAAAAGATCCTTTGATTATTCACTGTTATTGAAGGTAAGTTATAATATACAAAATCACCGTGTAGCGGCGGCGTAAAAGTATACACTGCCCCATATCATTTCCTTGGGTGTCGTAGGAGGCGATACAGAAAATGAAACAGGAGACAACTTAAAATAAAAAACTGCGGTTGCCAACCTGGCACCCTTGGCAGTTTGACAAATATACAAGTATGACAAAAATATAATAAAACGAGAGTGTCGATCATTTAATTATAATTTTGAAATAATTTTAGCAATCAAAATAGCGATGATAAAATAGTATGTAAGCACTACCTTTAGTAATGATATTCAAACGTTATGTTCCAAATTTGTAATAAGCTATGCTCGGAGTTTCTCTGCGTGATAAACTTAGGAATGAGGATATCCGCAGTAGAACCAGAGTAACCGACATAGCCCAACGGATTAGTAAGCTGAAGTGGCAGTGGGCCGGCCATATAGCTCGAAGAACCGACAACCGATGGGGAAGAAAGGTTCTCGAGTGGCAGCCTCGTAACGGTAGGCGAAGTGTAAGGCGTCCCCCCACGAGATGGAGTGACGACCTGGTAAAACATGCAGGAAGTCGATGGATGCAGGTGGCTCAGGACCGTGCTCTGTGGCATTCTTTGGAGGAGGCCTATGTTCAGCAGTGGACTTGTGAAGGGCTGTAATGATGATGATGATGATGAATAATAAACAAAACAATCTTTAAGTGTTTTCAAAAACGATACTAACCTAACTTATTTTTCCTATTTTCTGTAGGCTCAGATTCTGTGAAATCGCCTTCATTTATAATGTAATATGAACGGAGCTAATGTGTGCCGGGGGGAAGACAAATTTTACAACTTTTTCTGTTTTACAACCTCTTTATATGAAATGGTAAGTGCCGTGAAAATCGTGCGAAATATTATTTGGAAAGTTGGAAAATTAGTAATGATAGTAATGATGTAAAAATAAAATAAGTAAGTATTACGAGAATAGACTCGAAGAGTATTAGAGTGTATATATAGAATAGCACTATATTGTGTAGTGTATATACAGAAATATAGAATGCACATGTAGAATGTTTACGTGTATATGTATTATATGTAGCCTCCTCCCATTTCTGAGATGGTTATGCAAGAATGTGTCCGTTGCGCTGATTTAATGCCTGTTGATGGACTTACCATATCCTCGAAATATTTAGTCTTTAGACACGCAGTTTCTCTCACGATTTTTCATTCACCATGTAGCACATGGTACCCAAATTAGCATTTTTTAAAATTATATATTAACAATAGAATTAGAAACAGAAATAGACTTTTGTTTAGAAGACCAGCGGGTATTTTATTTTGAAAAAAAAAACAGCTTAATCATATATGTTACACAATTAGCAACAGAAAACAAATTAGAAATATTTAAGTTTTAAATCATAGATTGCTCTTTTTTTAATTATTACAAGCCAGTACTTGACCACAAACCCACATGGTGGTATGTGGTGGTGCAGCCTTAGATGGTCAACCGCACTGTCTTAGCGTAACAAAAGCTTATTCACTCTTGCCTTGAAGACGCCAAGTTTATATTCGGACGGAAAGATAGACGGCGGCAAAATATTTCACTCCTTTGCTGTACACGTTACAAAAGACGAAACAAGTCGTTTGGTTCTAATGCGTGAAATATCAACAACAAAGGGATGAAGATCTGCCGACCGCCTGGTTGTCCGATGGTAGAAATCTCTTATGGCGGTGATGTCGTTGCGCCACAAGCGAAACATATCGAAGCCTAAATCGCGCTAACAGAATTCCGAAGTTAAAGCAGTATATATAGAATAGCTCCGAACTACCAATCGGAGCGTTGGCCGCTCCCCAGGCAGAACACCTTGCCCTGCGGGAGATCTCCCCTTTGCCTTCTACCCGCCACAGTGGTGACCCCGACGTGATATGAATAACTACAACTTCAAAACCTTCGTCATCGTCCTCAAGTACCCCATTCATTCGCTCCCGAGCAGATATTGTCTGCAGTCTTCACATTCTGCAAGCCATCTAGCTTCACAAAGATTCATCGCAGCACTGGAATAATAATGCTTCCTGTTCCTTCAAGCTTCTCTGTGCGCTACAGTGTTCGGCATGGCTCTGAGCCTCACTGCTCGCCTCTGCTGCACGGCACTCTCGCATATTACTTGCCTTCTTCTCGATACACCGCAGACTTACAAGGCAATTCCCTGGCACTTGCAAATTCGTCGACATCTAGACTGCACTATCGACCTCCGGTCTAATCAGGGGGGTGATGTGGCGGCGATGTCGTCGCGCCACCAGCGAAATATATGGAAGCCTAAATCGCGCTAACAAAATTCCGAAGTTAAAGCAGTATATATAGAATAGCTCCGAACTACCACTTGGAGCGTTGACCACTCCCCGGGCAGAACACCTTGCCCGGCGGGAGATCTCCCCTCTTCCTCCCACCCGCTACAGCCCTTTTCTGTAAATCAAATATAAATTTAGTCAGTCACGTGTCCCCATGGAAAAATAAAATCCGACCGTTTGTTATGGAACAGCTAAATTCAACTAGTCTAGCTGTTTAAGCGTTGGTAAGATTTCTAATCTTTTTAACAGCATATGCTGTAGAACTAAGTCTACTTGCTAGTTTTGATATATGGGGGCCATGGCAAACATACCCCCGTGAGCAACGACCCAAAGAATCGATCCCGGTCCCGCTATAAATGTAACGGCGAAGCAGGGAGTGCTAAGAATCACCGGTGGAGGTTCGGTTTCAACCTAAAACTACTCGACCTGATAACATAACGCACGCACCCTGAGGACTGACGAGAAGATCCTGGAGTTGAAAGAAGAGATAGGCAAGTTGGTTGCGCTGGGATATTATATGATTATCCGAGGTTAGAAGAGAGGGGGAGGATACGGTAATCCTTGAATCTGGCAACTTGTGCTATCAC